TTCAAGGAATTGCGCCAATTGGCGGACAGTGGTGCGAAGGTAGATAATCTGTGAGCGCGCTGAAACCATGATGTCTGCTCAACGGACAAGTCAAAAAACACCGGATCATCCGCTGCAACTCTCCAACTAGAGAACTGAAACAATATCTGCCAGGGCTTCTCGCCATCTATGTATCATAAATACCGACCGACGAGTAGATCTAATTGTCTGACGTCTTCAGTTCCAGGTAACCATGACCCTACTTTATGCCTTTAATCCGGTTCCAATTCACGATTGCCCACTTTGGCTGTTGATTCAAAAGATGACACCACACTGTCCCCATAGATTTTCGGGGCTTGATAGGTCACAAGGGCAGTATCAATCCGCGAACTAACATTGGCGTCGTCTATTTCGTGCAGGAAGAGCAAGTGAAGCGCTCAGCACCATTATATCCCGCACTACGCCCCGACCGTTGGGTCACGTGTTGCGTATACCAGAACAGTGACTCTCGCGGCATGCGTCTTTTGCGCGCCGCCGGGAGCGTGGATGGATTAAGAGTAGAGGATGCTAAGCGCTGACTTAGTCAAGAGGAATAAAAGCCCTTAGTTTGAGGTTGTCCTCGCATGGAGCCCCTAGGCTCCCTCGTTGCGGCCAGAAGGACGATGAACATGTTTGGCTGGATACACATGCTAATATAGCGAAAAACTGAGCTCAGCGACGTTTGTGTGTAATGTGGTGTCGAAACGACGTACGTTGAACGGGCCAGGCAACAGTACTTCGAGGCTTAATTAGTTGGAGCCTAACCGTGGAGAGTATTCCGTCTTGCTGTAAGAACTGGATACAGATGAGCACAAGCTAATGGAGACATTTGTTCAACAGATAATCGCGATGCAAGCAAAATTACGCTTAGTCTCATTGCAGTGATAAGTTGGTACGACTAAGGCAAACACTTTATTTCCACCCGATCCGGAATAGTACGTACAAAAGTGTTCATTTTTGCCTCCGGATAAGACACTACTAGGGGTAATTTCATTCGTTCCGAAACACTGCTGTCCCTGTAGTTATTTAAGACAATTGGAATTAGGGGATCAGTTCAAAATTTGTATTCACAACTGCCTACACTTACAGCTTATTCAGCGTTAGCGTCCCTGTATTTTAAATCTACCCTGGTTTATACAGTCGAACTTGTCTAAGGCGACTACTCAATGGACCGACAAAAAGTGGAGGCAGTGAACAGGTGGTTGCCATAGACAGGCTCATCCATAGGTAGATTATAGGCGAAAAAGTTGGGGATGTTGTTCGCTGGTCACCATAGACAGTTGATCGTCATAGACAGGTGGTCGCCATAGCAGGTTGGATTGTACATGTTTTCAGTATCTGAAGCACCAACCCAAAGTCAGGCATTTGCTGAAGGAAGACCGCTAAGGTGCTCACAAAGCGCTCAAACAAAACGAGTACATACTTCTCTCTAGGCCGAATAAAGGCGCATAGATCATTCTGGTGGCAAAAGCTGACTAGGTTGACACGCTAGCGGTCATCTTCAGCCATAGTGCGAACTTTCGTGAACTGGGGAATGAGAGGGACAAAACAGCGGCAATTGAAAGGACAGTTACTTAGCTTCTACGACGCTTGAAACAGGACAACATGATTGAATCTGCTACCTTCGAGCACCTTCGACCAAGTGGACGGTGATTCCGAGACTTTACGGCTTCCCGAAAGTACATAAATAGGGGCTTCCACTTTGACCCATATTAGACATGTGCAACTCACCGTACCCCGCTACAGCCAAATGACTAGCCAAGCCTTTAGGTCTGGTGTGAATAATTTTATCCAGACATGGTCTCCTTGATCCATTCCGCTTCTTAGACTCCACAAGACATCTTGAGCTAACCGGAAGAAAGAAGTTTTACTTGGACCTCGGGTCGCTTTTCACAAATGTTCCTTTAAAAGAAACAAAGGACTATTTACACGACACCGTTCAATCACATCACTTGAGCGTCGGTCTTCCGAACAACCGGTTAAAACAGCTACTCATGCTGTGCACCAGCAACATACAAGTTCAGTTTAATGGAGTAATATACAGACAAAAGGACGAAGTAGCAATGGGCTCGCCACTAGGACTGTTGCTAGCAGATGTATTCATGAGCAAAGTTGAACATAGCTAACCGAGAGGAGTCATTGGCAGGTTACCCTACTACAACAGATAAGTGGATGATATATTTTGTGTGACAAACTAGCAATGTTGCGCAGTGCATATTTTATCCCACTTTAACTCGGCGCTCGACAATGCTAGATTCATCCTGGAATCAGGACACCATGGTACAATGACTTCGATAGACATCCAAATTAGCAGCAGATCACATGGGTCAATTCAACGCAGGGTGCACAGCAAAGCCACGTAGAATGGACATTGTATACATTTTGACATCTTTGTCTTATTAAACCAGAAGCGTTACTTGTTTAGTTAATTAACCGAAGGGACAAAAAGGATCTGCATTGAGGACACGCTTCCGAACGAGATGAATTTCTTGTTGCCTTTTTGTGACAGATGGCTCTCCCGAAAACTTTGTTCGGAGAACCATAAAGTGCCGAACAGCGAGCGCTAAAATTGATTCGGTCGAAATTAACTTCGTTCATCTGTAGTTGTTATACAAAAGGGATGGAATAGCGCAGGAAACTTTCAGAAGGCTATCCGCCGCCATAAACTACACCTACTACGCAGTTAGCTAACAGCCAAGATTTACTTCAACTCAAGAACAGACTTCCTCGGTCAAGTACTTTTTTCTGTTTATACTTCGCTTGTTCATGTCGATCAAGACATATCAGAAGAACCACCAGGAGACTGGCTGAGAGAATCCACGGACATTGCTTGACTTGGTTGTGTGGAGGTGGAAAGAAAACAATAACGACCGCTGTGTTGGCCCATTTAGTGGCCTTTAACCACCAAATCGATATTTACCAATGTTTTCAGCCCACTAACTGCGTATTTGGAAGCCACACACAAGCGATAAGGTGTTACTTACTAGCAACAACCGAACTGATCTCTATCCGCTTCTAGCACCCAGATTTACGTGCACAAAACGAATCTTCCAGATTTTCTCAACACCCTTTCTTCATAACACAGTGACCCATGTTGGGGAACATATTACTGACATACTTGACCATTTCACAACCAAGCACCTGACCTCGTCCTTTAAATAACGTAGAACTTTGAACTTTACCCTTGTCTGTTGCTTTAACTCGTCTTATTCGCAGCAATTTTTGTATACATGCCTGACGAAATACATCGAAAACGAGCTTGTTCGCTGACTTTTTTGATGTCTACAACCGGGAAATTTTCACAGTTGTTTTTTTTTGTACGTCCTCCTCACGTTTAGATTTCCCCACCGATTGCGATCACATACCAAATGCATAATACGTTACTTAACATTGTATTAATCTCTTCTGAGTTTTGGTAGTCTGTAATGTTTGTTTCTTTTCTTTTTTGTATTGCGGCACATTAGTTGAGGCGTGTTTCTCACCCTTAGCAAAGGTATATTGATGAGTGTGATGACGAACAGGTACGAGATTACCGTCCGGTGACCGAGTGGTCTACGTTCATGGTTTGCAACCATAAGGTCATGGGTTCGAATCCGCCTAGGGTTGGGCGTTCTCACGGTATTCTCAGCCCAGGCGAGACTGGCGGTGTTTGCGTGGCAGCGAAGCGCCATTACGGTGTACGGAATTGTCGCCGGGAATACTATTTGGTTCTAAGGGTTTGAGCTTGGCTGCACAGGCGGCTAGATTACTAATCACATTGCAAGGCAGCATGATAGCACCAATGTTATTACAACTATTGGATGATTGCAAATATCCGGATCCTTTTGCTTCGCAATCTTTTGCACTAATCGCCAATAACTTGACGACGCCATTCAGGACAACCGAAACCACAGCATTTATGTGATCAGATCAGTTTAGAGTAAGGATGGCACCTGACGGATTCTTGCTCCATAACTATGTCATGGCTTCTCTATCACCCCGGCTATTTGTATGCTACTGCAAACGATGGCGGGCATGAAGCGGAACTGGCTAGGTAGTCATGTTACTTGGGCAAGCGAGGTACGCAGTGTGCCGAACTTTCGCAACCTCTCAACAGACATTTACGTTGAAGCGGTACTAGCAAAAAACGCACTGCATGCTGGCAACGATGCAACAATGTGGAGGCACACTCACGATTCGAAGACTACAGGTGCTTCGAAAGCAAAACCAAAGCTCAAGTTCACTATTAGCAAAGGTCAAGATGCGTCCTTCACCATTTGGAGCTAAAGCGTAGATGGAGTATCTGAAAATTTGATCTGATAGATGAAGAATGACACTCTTATTGTGGCTACATTCAGTCGATCGAGGCTATTTGGTAAAATCAACTATATCCACTGGTTAGCTTTGCGTCATAGGCTCCACAGCGAAATGAGGCGCTTAGTTCAAACAGAACAACGTTGAATTCTTATTGGTCCGTGGAGATCAGTTTACTGAGTACTTAAAGGGGATAGTCATTTCACCGTAAACTACACAGTCCAAGACAGAACGAAAAGCTTAACAGCTTATGAGCATAAAAAGTTGGGTGCTTAAAACCACGACTGCGAACATCTAACTCCCTGAGTAAAAACCATGTCACACTCTGCTAGAGCAAAACATTTGCTATCTGGGACTTACATCACAGTAGCGTCAGCATATGGAATGCAAGCTTTCTGGGAAATGATGCGCAGATCTGACTAACATGGGCCAAATCAACACTAGAAGTAATCTACATTCGTAAACCCTAAATCAACACGCGTGTCACGCATTAGTGTCGGTTTGAGATCGTATACTTACATTCCTTCACTCTCATGCTTACATAATTTGTAAGCCTCTAGCTTCGCATCCTTCATATTCTCATGTGGGTAAAGGAAGCCTGCAATTCTCGAATAGGTTTGTTCTCTGCTATTTCCTTTACTGACATGTAGAACAAAATTCGCAATTTATGGTTATCTGACCATACTTACTTCACCCTCATGGGACGAGTATAAACCCCACCCATTCCTCCGGTCACTCCAAAAATCTCCGAAGAATGAATCCCCATTTGACCATTGTTGAAATCCAGCCTCTTCTTTCCTACTCTGTTCATTGACACCCCGGAAGAGATTAATGTCTTTAAATGAGAATTCACCGCATCCCATCCTTTGTCCATCACGCAACGTCCCATGATATACATGCCCACTTGCGTATAGAGTTACCTCCGTTGGAAGTTCATGTTTCTCTGTCAAATTGTCGAGGTAGTGTCTATCAATATACACAGCCATCCGGATGGTGTGATTTAGCAAGAGCCCTTCGTCAACTGAGTGTCTTGGTTGTCATCAAGCTGAAATAATGAAATAATGGTTTATGACAGGTAAATGAGCATAGACTTTGCATGTCACGTAGATTTGTACGGAAAGCAAATTACAAATACGAAGACTATACAGTTGGACAAAATGAAATGTGTCTCGGAGAAGCGATGGAACAACGGTTGTCCGAATGAAGTAACCTCAAGCAAACCGGAATAATAAGTTGAAATGATTAAAGCTCATTGCAGAGAACAATCGAATTGACCACTTAACTGTAATAATCTACGTGCTCCATTGTACATTAAAAGTATGTCTATAGCTAGAATACGCAGCTCATACACCATTCATATATATATATATATATATATATATATATATATATATATATATATATATATATATGCTTGCTGGCTTGGTTTCGGTGTTGCCTGTCACTGTGGCCAGACGCAGGACGTCTGCGTATACAGAGGAACAATGGGTGGCTTGCGCTGCACCACCCACAGCTCCAACCACACACCCCATGTCCAGTCTAAATCCGAATGAATAAGACCAGGAGGCATGTGGATGGGAGCCACGTTTCATCAACGGAGCCGGTTTCACAGGCAAACACAAGCACGCTGTACTTGGGGAATCAATCGCACACAAGGCCGTGACTGGACCGCAGTCCGTTCCACACAGAGTGCGTGGAATCACTCTTCGAGCCTAGCAAGGCCAAAACGACCGTGCACCCCGTCCCCTCCAGCAACGACCAACTGTGTCCTGGAGCCACGATGGACGAAGTAGTAGGTAATAGACAGGTAGGCATCTTGTCAACATGCACATCAAGCGCAACCACACCGGGGATTTCAAGCAACAACCAACCACTTGAAATGACAATAACAAATAAAATAAATAGGATACGACATACTGATTTAGTGACGTAACTCTTCACTAAAGACGAGTATAAAATAAATTGGCTACGAATAACTCCGCGATAAGTGCAACATGTCAGAAAATATATTTTAAGCAAATGGCACAACCGTGAAAATGTTCTCGAAGTCAAGCACAGTTAGTTTAAGTGACGTGCTCAAGTTTATAGAAGTTAGAGCATTGGTGGTGCAGGTAGACATTAATATGAGAAAGAAATGCATTAGGACAAAATTCAAAACCCATAACCTAATATAAAGAGACAGCATGCAAGCACGCGGATAATAAAGCGAATGCAACGTACCTACAAACGCTGCACCCGTTCTGCTAACTTTCTCAACGGGACCCGTCGTTGTTTAGATCTTGGTCTTGAGTGGCTTCGCTTGTGGCTCACTAGACCTGCCTGACTCAGCCACTTGCGACGGCATGTGCTACGACACCATGACCTCGATGTCGATGGAGTACAACCCATCGGCGCTTGCCGCTTCCGCACTTGCCGCTTCTTCTTTGCATGCTTGCGGTCTTTCTCCCACACCTCGGCAACTGCCTTCGTGATCAGAGCGCTCCATGCACGCCGAAAACGGTCTTTTATTCCCATGACGTGCAATCAGGAGTAGACTATGGGAGGTACACTTTGATCAAATGCAGATAATGCAGTTTCGGTTCCCCGCATGCCGCTTCCCAGTACTCAACTGAGCAAATCATAGTTGTTTCGGTATCCGTGCCGAATACATACGGCTCACATGACCTAGCCACCTCAGTTGTAACAGCAAAAGTATGCAGTCCACTGCATACATACCACTTCGATGCACCACTTCCTTGTCCCCAACTCTGTCGCCCCAACCGATGTGCAGAATCCTTCACAGACACTGTTGATGAAACCGCTCGCCGGTACATCGTCCACGTTTCAATGCCGTTAGAAGAAAGGATAGCACCATGGATTGGTACACCAAAACTTCATGCCGACGGTAAGCTGATAATTGTTGTACACTCGCTATTCAAGGTTCCAGAATTCCGCTGCTGCCTTCGAGACGCGGATACGCAGCTCACTGTGTAGCTGCTGATCAGTCGAAATCACACTCCCAAGGTAGCAGAAGCGAAAGGTTGTTTCCAATACTTCAGCACCAATGCTGATTTGAGCCAATATTGAAGATTGCACCTCCGGTGAAGGCTGAAAGAGACAGACAGTTTTGCTTGTGTTGGTGGTGAGTCCAAAGTTGGTCGCTGTCGAAGTAGAGCCTTAGTTATGTGCTGCAACTTATCCGCGCTGTGTGCAAACAAAGCACAGTCGTCAGCAAACAGCAACGTACGGATAGTTGTCCCACAGAATAGAGTTCGCGCACGGAAACAAAGCATGTTCAACAACTCACCATAAATACGGTGCTCCACATGAACACCGGCAGTACAAGCCCCATCAAAAGCACAAGACATCATTGCAAGTAGGTAAATAGTAAACAGGACAGGAGGTTAGACGCAGCCTTGCTTCACACCAGTGAGAACTGCTAAGTCCTCCGAGGTCTCTCCACTCAGCTGCACCCTCGCCGCATACCACTGTGCAGACATTCAATCAAAGGTACAAACTTACGCGGACAACCAAACTCATCCAACACCAGCCACAGTGCCTTGCGGTTCACTGTATCAAATGCCTTGGTGAAATCAACCAAATGCGAGTACAACGGCTAGTGTCGTTCGCTGCACTTCTCATGCAACTGATGAGCCGCAGCCACCATATCTATGGGGATACAACTCGAACGGAATCCACGTTGCTCTTCGGACACGTTCGGGTCCACAACCTGACTGACGGGGCCATTGAGCAGGATTCCGGCAATCTCCTTGCCTACACGACTCAACAAGCTGATACCACGATAATTCGTGTAACATTGCTTGCTTCCTTTATCCTTGTACAGTGGTAGCACAAGGGTATCCTTCAGCTCAGGAGACACCTCCTTTTCAATCCACATATGTTATACCTAGTGGTGCAGCGTAGTCACCAACGCGGGTGCGCCGTGTTTTAATACTTCAGGCGATATCCCGTCGGCCCCAGCAAACTTGCCGTTTCGCAGCTGAGCAAGTGCTCTCTGCGTCTCATCCAGTGTCGGCGTATCCGCCAGACTCGTCTTCACATCGCGCTGCTTCAGGCAGTTCAATGTAGGTCAGTCGATCTCTGAACGGTTGTACAAGAGACGATCAAAGTGTTTCCGCCAGATTTGCATTATGTCTGTAGTCTGTGTCCAGGTAACGCCTGAACTAACATCGATCAGTGTCCTCAGCGGCTCCAATCTCGGTCCATACACCACCTTCAAGGAGTCAAAGAATTCCTAGGTTTGAGGCGTTCGACGTAGCATTCCATCTGCCTCGCCTTCTCCTTCCACGATGCATTTTTAATACAACAAGCTCACGGGTCAGTCGCCGTCGAAGTTTGCGAAACTGACTGTTCTTCCCCAAGTCACTGAGGTCTGCAACATGTGCAGCAAATGCCACATTCTTCCCCGACACTAATGCGCCAACCATCCCATTGTTCTCATCAAACCAATGCGGCCGCTTACAGTTAGCGCACTTGATGGTCTCCTCGGCAGCAGCTGTCACCTGGTCGCGAATGTGGTGCCACAGGTCGCCCACTGTGGCTATGCAGTCCACATGGGCGTGCAGCCACCACCTTCTCTAGCTCAATACGTTTCACCACAGTACTGAGGGAGCGAATGTTGAATTTACGCCGATTCACGGCGCAAGTGCAATACATAGATTTACGAAAATATATGTACAGTTTGGTCCGCAACAACTTGAAATCAGTGCCACACTCAGCTCCACGCAGTATACGTGTCATACGCACTTCACGCATATCACGCTGACGTACGATGACATAGTCTAGCAGGTGAGCGTGACCACTCTGTGGGTGCGACCAGCTTGCTATATCACTCGCACTCAGTGCAAACCGAGTATTCGTGATCGTCAGACCGTGAGTGGCACCCAGTGAGAGCAGCCTGTCACCTTTCGCATTCGCTGAGCCAATGCCATGCGCACCGATAACATATGTCTACACCGATGCTTCACGCACAACACGCGCGTTGAAATCACCCAGCAGAAACAGTCGGTCGCTCTTCGGCACAGACGGTATCTCGGAGGAGAGCTGCGTGTAGAATTGATCACGCGTGGCATCAGGACCGTAGTGCTAATGATAGTGGCAAACTTACCACTTCCAAGTCGTAGGCGAACAGTCATCAGTCTCGCGGTGATACTCGTTGGTTCGCACACCAGCTGGGCAGAGATGCGATCGGATATTGCAAAGCCGACCCATGTTCACCTGGTGCTGAGGCGGCGTTGCCCATCCAATAGAAGGTGCAGCCAGCACCTGCTTCGTGCAACTTACCTTGCTCATCGAGCCGAGTCTCACTGAACGCCGCAATATCGATGTTGCAGCGTGCCAGTTCCATCGCGACCATTGTAGTGTGTCGCTCCGGGCGCTCACTGGAGTTCCGATCCAGTAGTGTGAGCACGTTCCAGCACCCGATGCTGAGTGCTTTGCGCGCAGGCATACGATTGCATTGGTGGCCAATCGCACGCAAGGTGGTCGTTGTGCTTCGGAGGTTTGCTTGAGGGACTTCACCCGGAGCCTTTGGCTCAATAGCCTGATCAACAAGGCAGTGGGTGATTTGAAGGTTTGCTTGAGGGACTCCACCAGGAGCCTTTGGCTCAATAGCCTGACCCATAAGGCAGTGGGGAGCAAATCCAGCTCGATTAGGGTCTGTTTGACGGCCGCCACACGCAGCCTTTAAGGTATTAGAATGATTCATATAAATTTTCCGACCGTAGTCCTGCGACCACGGCCAGACGCAGGTGGGTTTTGGCGGGTTTGCACGAATTTGACAAGGAGCTAATTGGCTTGGGGCGAGCAGTAACAAACGATTGAACACCCGTAGGTGCCCTCCCACCGTCAGCGACAATACGTGGGTCGCGTGTTCTGCGCCAATCAAGCAGTGAGCTTACAACCCGTAGATCTGTTGTCTCCCATGGCTAAGTTTTGCGGTAAGAGGGCTATCCACCACTTCGTAACCTCCAAAGAGGATGGACTA